TGTGTGTGTGTGTGTGTGTGTGTGTGTGTGTGTGTGTGTGTGTGTGTGTGTGTACACGTGTGTATATGTATAGGTGTGCATGAAAGCATAGGTCTACATGTATTTGAAAACCATAGGTCAACCTTAGATCTCATTCTCAGGAAAGCCATCCACATTGGGGCTTAATCATGTTTGTGTGTCTGCCTGTGTATGCATATGCACCTCATACATACCAGGTGTTCACAGAGGCATGTATTAGCAGTGAGGTGCTTGCCTAGAATCCCCCAGTGAGAGGCTGGGGTGTGGCTCAGTGGCAGAGCCCCTGCCTAGAATCCCCCAGTGAGGGGCTGGGGCGTGGCTCAGTGGGAGAGCATCTGCCTAGCTTGGGTGTGGCTCAGTGGTAGAGCCCCTGCCTAGAATCCACCAGTGAGGAGCTAGGAATGCAGCTCTGTGGTAGAGCTCCTGTTCAATATGCACAAGGCTCTTAGTTCCTTCTGTAGCACCACACAAAAGACAAAAGCAAGGACCTGCCAGTACCTGCTTTGGTATCTTTCCTATTGCCACCAAGGGGCAGTTTCAGTTTTATGTTTGGTTTTTAGAGAAAGGGTTTCTCTGTGTAACAGCCCTGGCTGTACTGGAACTTGCTCTGTAGACCAGGCTGGCCTCAAACTCAAAGAAATCTTTCTACCTCTGCCTCCCCAGTGCTGGGATTAAAACTGTGTGCCACCACCAATGCCATATCCTGTGTGTGAAGCAGGTTAAAACTTTTAAGAATTCAGCATGTCACTGGGTGTGTTGGCACATTCCTGTATTCTCAGCACTGGCAAGACTGAGGAGGAGGACTGAGAGTTCTAAGCCTGCCTAGGGTACACTGCAAGATCTGCGAGGCAGCGAGGGAGAAAGAGAGAGTGAAAGGAGAAAAGTGGTATTCCAGGAGCCTGGGTTGTTACATGCTAGAAAGAGCTCCTGGTTCAACCTTGAAGCCTAATTAATTAGCCTCATTTCCCCTGTGGAGCTCCCCCCTTGAACAAGCTGAAGCTGGTGCACTCGAACCTGGAGGAAGACCCCGAGGAGGTCCGGGTGGAATTCATCAAGTATTTAAAAAGCATCATCAGCTCCTTGTCGGAGAGCAGAGACCGGGAGGAGATGCTCATCATCACCTAGTGTCCCCGTGCAGCCGCCTCTCCCCTGCCGCTGGCATCCCACCCGGCTGCCGCCTCCCCCCTGCCAC